TTTCAATTTAAAAAGCTGGAATGAGACAAGGGATTTTGTGATTCCCTTATTTCTGTGATTCCCTTATTTTTGTGATTCCCTTACATTTTTACCACAGACATCTTGAGTTCCTTCCTGAAGGTGTCTCTTGCACAGGTGCTTCTTAATAGTAAATAGAATCATAATTTCCTGTGAGATTTGCAACAGTAGAGCAAAATGGGCTAAACCTGGCAAATTATTAATATTAATTTATCAATTCTTATTAATAATTCTTTATTAATATTAATATTTATTTGTATTATCTGTTTATATTAATTTATTAATATTTAATAATGTAAATGTTCCTTTTACATTGAAGCATTGCTGTGCATCAAAGAGGCCAATTCCCAAAGGATTAACTGTGAATTTTTGGAATCACAACTCTGGGAGCAAGAAAGGCAGAGGGATAAATCAGAGGGCCACAGAATTCCATAGAAAATAATGAAATTAAGGTTGGAAAAGACTTAAAATTAACAAGTCCAGCCATCAACCCAACAGCACCATGGTCACCACTAATCCATGTCCCCAAGTGCCACATTCAAAGGTTTTTTGAGCACTTCCAGGGATGGTGATTCTACCACTGCCCTGGGCAGCCCCTTCCAATGCCCGACCACCCTTTCCATGAAGAAATTCCACTAAATATCCAATCTAAACCTCCCCTGGAGCAGCTTGAGGCCATTTCTTCTCATCCCATCCCTGGGAGAAGATAAGGAGATATCAACTCTCACCTCAATGGGATTTTTTATTCTTTTTTAGGTGGAGGGTTGTTGACTATTTGCCATTCCAATCTATTGCCCAAAATTCACTGGCACATGGCCAAAATCTTGCCCAGGATGATGTGGTATGTGGATTTTGCAGATCTGGGGAAAGATCTGCTCCACCACATCCCTGTTTCCATCACGTCAAAGGATGTGGGGAGTGCCACAGCCCTGCCGGGACCGTGCTCTACACCCACTCCCTGACCCCAGGAATAAATGACTTGGGTTGGTCAGGAATTTTCCAACAGAAGAGTTTTCCACCTGAGAACGCTGACAGGGCCCAACTGAAGAGTTCTGGGGAAGGTTTTTATTCCATCAGAGCTTTGGGTGCAAACAAAGCAAGGCCTGGCCAGGTCCTTGGATGGGCCCTCAAACCCTGCCAGCTCAACCCCTTCCCCACACACTCTGGAGCTGTGGCCACAGCATTTCCCAGCTGATGGATGAGCTGGGGCACCAAAGAGAAGCAGTTCCATCAGCAACGACTTTGTAGATTAATTTAATTAATTGATTTAACAGCAAAATCTATTTACTGAAGGCATTTTTTAACCTGTTGACACCAATTATTTCCCTGCTCAGTTTGAGGATCCCTCAGGCTGGCCCAGAGCCACAAGCCCAGGCTGGGGGGCAGAGGAGGGGGAGTTGGAGCTCAAAGGGGGGAGAGTTGGAGATCACAGAGGGGAGAGTTGGAGATCAAAATTAGGGAGAGATGGAGATCACAGAGGGGAGAGTTGGACATCAAAATTAGGGAGAGTTGGAGGTCAGAGGAGGAAGAGTTAGAGGTCACAGAGGGGAGAGTTGGAGGTGACAGGAGGAAGAGTTGGAGGTCAAAAGTAGGGAGAATTGAAGGTCACAGGGGGGAGAGTTGGAGGTCACAGAGGGGAGATTTGGAGTTCACAAGAGGAAGAGTTGGAGGTCACAGGGGGCCGAGTTGGAGGTCACAAATAGGGAGAATTGGAGGTCACAGGATGGAGAGTTGGAAGTCACAGAGGGGAGAATTGTAGGTCACAAGTAGGAAGAGTTGGAGGTCACAGAGGGGAGAGTTGGAGGTCACAAGTAAGAAGAGTTGGAGATCACAATTAGGGAGAGTTGGAGGTCACAAGTAGGGAGAGATGGAGGTCACAGGTAGGAAGAGCCCAGAAGTGGAGGAGAGAAGCTGGTTTTGGTCCCATTTTTGTGCTGCTGAACAAAACCTGAGAGGGATGGAAAGGTCTCTGTGCTTGTGCTGTGTACAACTGATAACCAGCATGTGTTGGTGATAGGATAGGGGTCCTGGTGATAAGATAGGTGTGCTGGTGATAAGATGGGTTGGGATGAGCTAGATCAGGCTGAAGGATGTGATGAGGTGTCCCAGTGATGATCAGATGGGTGCCAACACTGTCATCTTATCACTGTGGGTGCTCAGGAGGGTTCAACCCTTCCCTCACAACACAGAGAGTGGAAAATTCCAAAGATTTGGGTAAAACAGAGGGAGATGAGTGCAGGAAGGAGGGAAGGAAGAAAAGAGAGGATTTGGGGAAGTTTCTGGAAGAGCAGCAGCTCTGAATCTGTGCTCTCCAACTGCTGCCTTTATCAGTGACACAGCTCTTATCTAAGGCCAGGGAAGGGGCTGCAGGTCCAGCAGGGTGTTCCACCTGCAGCAGGGAGAGAGGCAGGGCTGGATAAACTCCTGCTGTGGATGGCAGAGAGGCTGCAGGGCCTGGAGACCTGGAGATGTTCCTCTGAGGAGGCTGAGTCCTTCTGGAATGGCAGAGTGGGGCTGATCAGGGCCTCAATTCCAAGGAAATTCCCCTCAGGGGTGGCAGAGTAGGGCTGATCAGGGCCTCAATTCCAAGGAAATTCCCCTCAGGGGTGGCAGAGTGGGGCTGATCAGGGCCTCAATTCCAAGGAAATTCCCCTCTGGAATGGCAGAGTGGGGCTGATCAGGGCCTCAATTCCAAGGAAATTCCCCTCAGGGGTGGCAGAGTGGGGCTGATCAGGGCCTCAATTCCAAGGAAATTCCCCTCAGGGGTGACTGTCAGACCCTGCACATCCCAAAAAAAGATTCACAGGAGCTCCTGTGACTTCAGGTCCCGCTTGTCTCACTCCTTTTTCCCCTTCCAGCAACTCTGGGTGTTTTCCAATGCTCTTGGAACAGGCAGCTTCCAACCCAAACCATCCCCAGCCCAGGATAAACCCTTTCCCTTGGTCCTCTGGAATAAGCCCAAGGGATTTATGTCCCGTCTGTCAGGGTGTGGATAAACTCAAAACTGTCTCCATCTAAAGCAGAAGTTTCTCTGGGGATACTTCTGTGGTGCTTTCCTTTCCTGTTTGAAAAAAAAAAAATAGTGTCCAGTGAACTGAAAATTTATTGCAAGAAACCATTTCAAACCAGAAAATGGATTTGCTTTGGAAAATAAAATCTAAACAAAATGTTTTGGCAGTGGCTTTCAAGTAGTAAACACATTGAGCCTTCTCTTTTCCAGCTAAAGAGCTGCTCTCTCTGGGAGGAAAACATGACAGAGAGGAGAATTTTCTCCTGTCTCTGCACTGAGTGACTGAACAAACAGGAACAAGGCAGGTTCTCCTGGATCCCTGTTTTCCTCTCTGCTGGGAGGGATAACATATCCAGAGTTCAACATTCAGGACAAGGGGATGGGGTTGAGAGAGAAAATGCCACCTGAAGAGTTGGTCTGTCTATCTAAGCAAGGAAATTCAGGAATTTTTTTATACCAAACCTGGCTCAGTGACTGCTGGGACAGAGGTTAATTCCGATGTTGATAAGGTTCATTATCTAAATGCTCCCCAGAACTTTGTTTGCAGCCCAAATCCCACTCTCACCGAGGCTTTTGGCTGTGCCCTGGCCTGAGGCTGTTTGTTTACCCCCAGGACAAGGTGCTGGGGGGAGCTGCTCTGTGGCTTTAACTACCAGGAGATGGTGAGAGATAAATTCTTGTGTTCGCAGCATCGCAGGGCTCCCACCTCCTCCTTCCTCCGCCTCTCTGTCCTCTGCAGCACAGCCCTCACCACAGGCGATCCCCTGCACTGGGGATCCACTGCAGACCTAGCTAAGCAACTTTATTTTTTATTTTTTTCAATTTTTTTTTGCAAGAAAACATGCCAAAAAGCTTCCAGCTCTGCAGCAAAACCAGCCCAAAAATTGCCAGGTTGGGCAAGGGGAGCATCAAGGAGGGAAATCCTGGCTTTTAATAATTTTAATAAATTACATTTATTTTCTTGGCAGCCTGTTGGAAATGATAAAAGTATTAAAATAAATTTTAGTTAGTTAATCATAACCAATATATTAATTATAGACAATGTGTTATTCTTAAATTGCTCTTAGCATAAAGCAAAGCTCCTTTTGTGGGAACACAGCCTGGAAAAACGACTAAAACTGTAAAGTTTGTTGAGCTAACCTTGATATGCTGCAATGAAAATTCACTGCTTTGTTTGCTAAAAATGTATAAAAAGGTGAGGAGGTTTTGGATCAGGGGCTGTGTGGAGGCTGGGATTTTGTCAGCCCCATCCACACCCAGAGCTGAGAATAAAGCAATTTTCCAACACTAAAAATGCAGCATTGGAGGGTTCTCTTCTCCTGATGGGTTTGGGGGTTTTTGGTAACAAGCCTGAAGCAGCTGCCAGCATTTCTCAAAGTTCAATGATCCAAGCCATGGGATGTTCAGAACATGGAATAGTTTATTTACAGGGTGACCAGTTTTTAAGCTTGAAAAACAACATTTCATCAGCACTGAGGGGCCAGGTGGGATCCAGGAGCTGAGGGATTGCTCATGGAATTGTTTGGGAGCCACCTTGGAGGGCTGGGTGATAAGATGGGTTGGGATGGCCAGGGGTGCAGGGGTAAAAACCAGCTCTGTCCCACTGCTCCTCTCCATACCAGTTGCAAACCAGCTGCTTCTTGCCCTAATCCAAGGGGAAAAGGAGCACAGGTGGTTCCTTGTGCTGTGTCCCACCCCACAAACCCCACTAGAAACGTGCACTTGGTGGTTTCCTGGGAAAGCATTGTTAAGGAATCTGGAAAAATCCAGATTTTCTGGAGCCAACACAGTTCATCCTGGGAGGCACAAAGCTCTGGGGTTCTGGGACAGCTTTGGAATTGGGTGGGAAGGACTCTGCCAGTCTGTGCTCCGGGGCTGGGCCAGGCTGGAGGAGCTGGGGGGCACAGCTGGGTGTCCCTGTCTGCCCCTCCTCATCCTCAGTTCCGCAGCTGCCGAGGAGCATTTGAGAGATTAAAGCAAAACTTCACAAAGAGCCTTTCCAGGCCCATTCAGGGCAGGTGGAGGAGCAGAGGAGGAGTCTCAGGGAAGAGCTGCTTTGGCCTTGTCCCCTGGGTCTGGCCCATTTTCAGGTTTGGCAGCAATGCTGTAGTAGTAGGAGCGGATGGTGTTCTCCACAGCCACAAACCCTGGACGTTCTTCCCATCTGCAAGGGCAAAAAAAGTCATCAGAGAGGAACAAATGAAGTCATCAGAGAGGAACAAATGAAGTCATGAGAGAGGACAAAAGTGGCCTGATGCACTCAGAGGACACAGAGACCCTTGGGGGAGAACAGCAGCCAGGGCTCAGGAGGCAGCTGAGACTTTTCAGGGACACAGAGCCTTGGGTGTGACCGTGTTCACAGGGGTTCTTGGATGAGGGAAGAGATGAGGATCTGACTCAATGTTTCAGAGGGCTTGATTTATTATGATATATATTATATTAAAACTATACTAAAAGAATAGAAGAAAGGATTTCATCAGAAGGCTGGCTAAGAATAGAATAGGAAGGAATGATAACAAAGGCTTGTGTCTCGGACAGAGAGTCTGAGCCAGCTGGGCTGTGATTGGCCATTAATTAGAAAAACCACATGAGACCAATCCCAGATGCACCTGTTGCATTCCACAGCAGCAGATAACCATTGGTTACATTGTGTTCCTGAGGCCTCTCAGCTTCTCAGGAGGAAAAATCCTAAGGAAAGGATTTTCCATAAAAGATGTCTGTGACACCTTGGGATCTTCCAGGATTGGCACAGGCAAATGGAGAGGTCTGATAATAAAAAAATCATCCTGGGCTGGGGAATCATCACAGCAAAGGCAGGAGACACCATTTGCTTTGTGTTGTGACTATGCAAACAGTGTGGTGAAGGTGTCCCTGCCCATGGACTGGACAGGCTTTAAGGTCCTTTCCAACCCAAATTTCCAATCCCATTCTGGGATTTGGCAGCTCTGGTGGAGCTGGCACCGTTGTGAAATGCTCACCTGTATGTCCAGCACTGCTGCATCAGGGAGTACATCTCTGCTGGGCACTCCTGGGGACAGTCCATGCGCTTGCCCTGCTCTATGAAGCTGATCACCTCAGGGCCCTTCATTTTCTGGGATGGGAGCAAGGGATAATAAGGGATTAATGTGCTCAGAGCTGGCAGCAGGGCTAGAGGAGACAGGTTAGAGCTGAGCCTGGGTGGACCTTTGGTCACAAACCCCCCACACCTGGCAGTCACTGTTCCCACCCCAGAAGCCAGAACTGGTGTCCCATGCTGTGGCCAGGCCATCCTGCAGATCCCATCCACAGACACCATCCTACAGACCCCATCCCAGCCATCCTGCAGACCCCATCCCAAACATCCCATCCCGCCCCATCCTGCAGATCCCATCCACAGACACCATCCCAACCATCCTGCAGATCCCATCCTGCAGATCCCATCCCACCCCATCCTGCAGATCCCATCCACAGACACCATCCCAACCATCCTGCAGATCCCATCCCAGCCACCTTGCAGATCCCATCCACAGACACCATCCCAACCATCCTGCAGATCCCATCCCATCCCACAGACCCTTTTCCAGACATCCTGCAGATCTCATCCCACAGACCCCATCCCAACCATCCTGCAGATCCCATCCCGCAGACCCCATCCCATCCCGCAGACCCCATCCCAGACATCCCACAGATCTCATCCCACAGATTCCATCCCAGCCACCCTGAAGACCCCATCCACAGACCCCATCCTATCCCATCCTGCAGATCTCATCCCATAGACCCTATCCCAGCCACCCTGCAGATCCCATTGCCCAGCCTGAAGATCCCATCCATCCCATCCCATCCTGCCTCCAGGCTCCATCCCACCCACCCTGCAGACCCCATCCCACCCTGCCTTCAGATCCCATCCCACCCAGCCTCCAAACTCCACCCCTTCCACCCTGCAGACCCCATCCTGCCAATCCTGCAGACCCCATCCCACCCACCCTACTCACCCCATCCCTCCTGTCCTACCAACCCCACCCCACCCAAGCATGGGCCCAGCAGTGGATGAGAAGTGATTTTTTCATCTCCCAAGTGAGCAGAAGGATCAAAGAGAAGAAGGATCAAAGAACTCTGCTTCAATTCAACCCCAAATGAATTCCCTTTGTTTTCTATTTCTTCTCTCTTAAAACGAGCACAAAGCTGCAGGATCCACCCTCATTTGTGCCTTAACCAAGGTGTAGTGGGGCTGTGACACCCATGGGTGACAGAGCCGGCTCTGCCTCACCTTGTACAGCCCTTCCTCATCTTGTAGGGTTTCTACCTCACCTTGTAGGGCTCCTGGCCCACCTCGTAGAGCCTGCCTCAACTTATAGGGCCCTGCCTCAACTTATAGGGTTCCTGCTTCACCTTGTAGGGGCTCTGCCTTACCTTGAAGGGTTTCTGCCTCACCTTGTAGGGTTTCTCCCGCACTTTGCAGGGCTCCTGCCTCACCTTGTAGGAGTTCTGCCTCACCTTGTAGGAGTTCTGCCTCACCTTGTAGGGTTTCTGCCCGAAGCTGAAGGCCTCCCACATGGTCACACCGTAGCTCCAGACGTCGCTCTTGCTGGAGAACTTGTGGAAGAGGATGCACTCGGGGGCGTACCACTTCAAGGGCCACTTCCCTGCTGTCCTGGCCTGCAGCAGAGCAAGGAGGGACATTTGCAGCCTGAGACTGCTGGCAGCTGCACCTGAATTCTGCTGGGTGTGTTAAATCTCACATGACTGAAAAAAAACACCTGAAATGGGAGCTCCAAAGCCCAGTCCAGGCCCTGCTGTCCTGTTGTGCAGGTGCTGAATGCCCACAGTGTCACCCTCCTCCTGCCACCCACTCCCAGGGCTCACTTAAACCATGGAATTATGGAATGGTTTGGGTTGGAGGGACCTCAAAGCCCATCCAGAGCCATGGCAGAGACACCTCCCACTGTCCCAGGCTGCTCCCAGCCCTGTCCAGCCTGGCCTTGGGCACTGCCAGGGATGCAGGGGCAGCCCCAGCTGCTCTGGGCACCCTGTGCCAGGGCCTGCCCACCCTGCCAGGGAACAATTCCTGATTGCCAAGATCCCATCCAGCCCTGCCCTCTGGCACTGGGAGCCATTGCCTGGCTCCTGTCCCTGCAGGCCTTGTCCCCAGTCCCTCTGCAGCTCTCCTGGAGCCCCTTCAGGCCCTGCCAGGGGCTCTCAGGTGTCCCTGGAGCCTTCTCTTGTGCAGGTGAGCTCCCCCAGCTGTGCCAGGCTGGCTCCAGAGCAGAGGGGCTCCAGCCCTGTGACCAATTTAGTGGCCTTGTCTGGACTCATTCCAACTGGTCCTCATCATTCTTGTGCTGGTGGCCCCAAAGCTGGACACAGAATTCGAGGTTGGGTCTCTCCTTTAGTTGAGCACTGCTGGGAAGATCAGCCCTGGCTCACTCTTCATCACCTTCTCTTCTCTCTGGCTCCTCTCATCCCCCTGGCTGCCTCTGCATCCTCTTTGTCACCAGAGCTCTGCAAAGCCCCTTTTGATGTCACAGCAGTGAAACACAGCCTAATGTGTAGAGGGGTCTGTGAACAGCCCAGATTCTCAAGTCTCCAGGAGTCTCATCCTCCCAGCCAGGAGGGCTCCTGCTCCAGACCCTTTGCTGTGCTCACACCCACCTTGTAGTAGCTGTCATCAGCTCCCAGAGCCTTGGAGAGCCCAAAGTCACTGATCTTGGCGTAGTGCTGGTTGACCAGCAGGACATTCCTGGCTGCCAGGTCCCTGTGGACAAAGTTCTTCTCCTCCAGGTACTTCATGCCCATGGACACCTGGTGCATAAGCTCCACGATGTTGCTCATTGTAATCTCATCCCTGGGGAGGGTGAAAGGAGATCTCAGTCATAAAGGACCTGCTGTGCCCCCCCCCTGACCTTTCCAGCTGCAAGGGAGAATGAGCATGGAGATCTGTGCTCCAGAAGCATCAACCCCTGGAGCCTCACATGAAAGATTTCTTTCTGCTCTTTTCAGCTTTGTGACAGCCTGGTCAGAGAGAGAGAAAGTGAGAGAAGTGTCCTGGATTGTCAAGCAAATTCTGTTCTATTTGCCATCTGGATGGCAGCTGTCTTCTGTTAATTGAGCAGTTTGCCTTATCTGTTCCACACCCACTCCTCCCTCTGGGCAGACACCTGCTGATAACAGCCATTGAATGTCCCTGCATGGCTGATAAGAACTACAGCATCCCATTGGGAGATGTGAGCCCAGAGGGAGGAGCCAAGCATTCCTGCCTGGATATAATCTGGAGATCCTGGAACACCAGCACAGCTTCTGCACTGGATTTCCCAGAGGAACAGCAGCTGCCTCTGCATCTTCAGAGGAAGATTCCACCCTTCTCCAGGATCCCTGCTCCAGCAGAGCCACCCCTGACACTGCAGGAGGGCTGAGCCACAATTCCAATGGTTCTGCTGCCAGCACCCTGACCCACAGGGTGTCAGGTTGGGTTCTGGCTCTGCCAGTATTGTTTTAGTTTACTGCATTGTTTATCTTTTTCTTTTCTTCCCTATTAAAGAACTGTTATTCCTGCTCCCATATTTTTTTGCCTGAGAGCCCCTTAATTTAAAATTTATAGCAATTTGGAGGGAGGGGGTTTACATTTTCCATTTCAGGGGAGGCTCCTGCCCTCCTTAGCAGGCACCTGTCTTTTCAAACCAAGACAATAAGTTTTCCCAGAATCAGCCTGGGAAGCTTTAGGGAGCTGGAGATAAACAATGATAGCCAAACATTAAAAACAACCTGCAGGTGGTATTTTTCTAATAATCTGTTTTTCTCATAAGATTGGCTAATTAACAAGACACCCATTTGTAAGCAATCATGTGAAATGTGCTGATTAAATGACCAATCAGGTCCACCTGTAGCAAACTAAGCTATAAAAGAAGAGAGGATGAAATAATGAGGCTTTTTGCTATTTTGCCTTCTGATCCAACTACGTGTCATCTCTGACTCAATGGTGACACAAGGGTGGGCTTTTGAAGTAGATTTTAAGAAGAAACACAGAAAATCAGCCAGGTTTTATCCAACACTCACTTCTTGGAAGCCAAGAACCTGTTGAGGGGCCCTCCAGAAGCCATCTCCATCACGAGCATCAGCGACTCGGCCTCGCACACCCCGATCATTCTCACAATGTAGGGGTTGTCCAGCTGGTGCATGATCTGAGCTTCCTTCATCATCTCATCCTTCACTGTCTTCTCGTTGTTGCTCTTCAGCACCTTGATGGCCACGTCAATCTGCTTCCTGCATGGGGGAGCAGTCGTGGTGTCACTGTCATATTTTCTGAAAAATCCCTTCGCCAGGATTTCTTCTCCTGGGAAGATGAGAAGCCTCAGCTTCTCCTGTGTTTGCTGCTCTGGAATGTGGTCTGGAGACTGTTTAGCCAAACACGTGAATTTTTTTTAATTAATAACCAATCACCATGAGCTGTGTCAGACTCTGAGGAGTCAGTCACAAGTTTTTTGTTATCATTCTTGTTAAGCCTTCTGTCTGTATCCTTATTTTTCTTTAGTATAGCATAGTATAATATATAAAATATAATGTAATATAATGTAATATAATAATAAATCAGCCTTCTGAGAACATGGAGTCAGATTTCTCATCTCTCACCTCATCCTGGGCACCTCACAAACACCACACCATGGCATGGGCTGAGCACAGCTGGAATCAGGGGTCACAGCCAGGAATGGAAATCCCTTCTCCTGGGACACTGTCTGACCTCTCATCAGCCTGTTCTGGCAGGGCCCTGCACCATCCTGGTGTCCCAGAATGGAGAGGAAAGGTCACCCCACCCTTGTGGGTATAGCCAGAAGTTGCCATCCTTGATCTGGGGACAAGACACCTCCCCTCCCACACTGAGATCTGGGTCATCAGTGCCATTGTTCCAGGAAGAAACTGAGGCACAAGTAGGTAAAGACCATCACAAATAACCAGCAGCAGAGCCAAGGGTGACATAACTCCTCAGTGTCACTGCTTTGGCCTGACACAGACAGAGGTGGTCTCAGGAATGTAGAGTTGTTCCTCTGAGCCCAGCAAGTTCCTTTGGAAGTGGCAGCTGTGTGCCTGGGAATGTGGAAATTACACACCCAGGGCAATGCAGCTGTCAGTGAAAATCCACGGGAAGCCGTGGAATTACAGCATCACATCATAATATCCTGGGATCACTGGGGTTGGAAAAGACCTGCAAGACCATCAAGTCCAACCCCTGGCTGAACACCACCATCCCCACTAAACCCCACCACAAAACCTGCTCATCTTCTGAACACTTCAGTGCTGGTGCCTCAACCATCAGATCCACCACCCCTGACCTTCCAGATCATTTCTAATCCCCTCCATTGTCACTTTGGGGCCCATCTAGTGACCAACAGGACAGCTGGGGACACCTCAAGCCCAGCCAGGTCCCTCTCCTCCCCGTTCCTTCCCAAGCACCCTCACTCACTTCCTCATTTTGTAAACTCCCTTCTTGACACAGCCAAAATTTCCTGCGCCCAGCTCCACCTCATCAATCATCAGGTGGTCCCTCTTCAGGAACAGCTTCTTGTCCTTCAGCTCCTCAGGGTCACTGTAGGGGCTCTCGTACACGCTGGTGTCCATGGGCAGCAGCCGGGATTTTCCTACTCCTTCCCAAGAGGAGCACTCGGTTATAAACCTGCCCTTCCCCATCCCACTGTCCCTCACGGATTGGGAAGGGTTTCTCTGCTCTGTTGGCCAATTCACCTCCACCTCCAGCATTTCTGGTCCCTCCTGGGCATCTCCCTTCCTTTCACAACCCAGGGCCCCTCCCAGTCCTGTCTCTTCAGAGAGAGCAGCAGGCACAACCTTCCCAGGGTTTCTCCTGGGGAAGGCAGTGAGAAAGCTCAGAGAAAGAAGAAAAAAACAATTCTTATCTCTATTTGCTGCTCCTGTTGCTTGGCACATGTGGAATGTGTTATGGAGCTTGTTTACCCAGAGTGATTTGTTAATTGGACTCTGGTAATGATTGGATTGATTGACCAATTAGGTCAAAGCTGTGTCATCACTGTCTGGTAAGGGTCGTGGGATTCTTTTTAGTTGTATAGTTTAGTATAGTATTAGTATAGTATGTATAATAGAATAGAATAATATATAACATAATATAATATAGCAATTGTTCAGCCTTCTGAATCTTGGAGTCATTGCACATTATTCCTCGGGCTGGGGGTTTTCCTGCATTAATAGTACTGGTTGCTGAAAGAGTTGGGATGGGGAGAGGGGTCTGAGCATTCCCACTCCACATATCTGCCCTGCCAGCCCTGGGCAGGGCTTTACCCCACTGAAATTCAGCTGAATCCACTGAAAAATGTAAATTTTACTGAAAAAAAGAGTAAATTTTAGTGAAAAAATGTCACTTTTAGTGAAAAATGGGGATAGGACAGGGCGTCACTTCCTGGGCAAGGCAAGGAATGGGATAGGGCTTGATTTCCTGGGAGCCCAGTGTGGGTAAAGGGCCCTGAAATGTCTGGGGTGCTCCTGGCTGCTTTGGTAAGAATGGGGCTTTGTAGCAGGGCTCCAGGGAACCCTTGGGCTCCTGGAACATCCCCATTCCTGTCCCCTGTGAGGAGGAGAGGGCTCTGGAAGTGCTCACCAACAGGGTCTGGGGTGTATCCATCTGCATTGAGAGGGCCCAGGTTTCTCTGGAAAAGAAATGAGGAGAAAGTGGATAAAAGAGAAATTGCTTCAGTTGCAAATGGAAGGGAAAGGGACAGGGAAAGTGCACCCCAACACAGCCCCAGCTGGTGATCCCTCTGAAAGGTGAGACTGGAGTGGTCTGGAGCCAACATTCCAGTCCAGTTCCAGCAGGGATTGGTGCCAGGGACCCTGAGCACAGCACCCTCCCCCAGGGCTGTGCAAGGTCAGGGCTCTCTGTCCCCTCTGCTGTCCCCATCCCAGCCAGGACTCACAGATTGCAGTGAGCCAGGAAGGGGAGGCGTTGGGGAAAATGAAACAGGAAAGCCTTATGAATATGATTGTCTGGCAAAAGATTTTGAGAATATAGAAACTATAAGCGAGATTGAAATGAAAGCAAGCTTTAAGTCCCTCAGTTACTGAACAACTGGAAAACAATGGTGTGGCTGGCTGAAGGTGATCCCCTTTTGATGGAACAACACCCTCTGCTTGCAGACAGGCCCAAGGGTCAGAGCAGACCCTGCCAGCTTGGCAGAAGGGGCCCAAAGAGGAATTTTTAGGGTTTAAAGTGTAACACAGTATGGTAATGTAGAGATTCTTATAGGCTGTATGGAAATGTTATAGGATTTGTATCTTGTACTAGATTGGTTAGTGAGAATTAGAATATTCAACACAGAAGATGATTTATTGTATTTGTAATGGGAACTTCGCCCTCTTACTTTTCTATGCTCTTACCCTTTTATTCTCTTATGCTTTTACTCCCTTACTCTCTCACCCTCTCATCCTCTCTCCCCCTCTCTTCTCTCAGTCCTGCTCTGAGCTGTGCCTGGCAGCTCCCAGCAGGGCCCTGCACCCAGGCCCTTTGCAATAAACCCCAAGTCCCAAGACCAGAAGAAGATTTATTGTATTGTAACAGGAATCTCGTCCTCTTTTACTCTCTCTTTTCCTTCTTTACTCTTCCTCACTCATCTCTTTACCACGCTCTTGCCTTCTCTCAGGCCTGCTCTGAGTTGTGGCTGCAGCTCCCAGCAGGGCCCTGCACCCAGGCCCTTTGCAATAAATGCAATTTCCATGACCTGGCTGCAGAGATCTCTCATCTCCATCTGTCCTGACCGTCCTACCCCGACACTCCTACAGGGAGGGAGGCCTGGAGGCAGCTCAGGTCACAGCCAGCCCAGGAAAAGTGGCTTTGTGAGCACACAGGGACACTGTGCAGCCACTGTCCCCAGAGCAGAGAGCCACAGGGGGGCACAGCTTAGCATGCCAGAGCCACAGAATCCCAGAGCTGGAAGAAGAGCTTGGGAAGAACTGCGTCTACCAGAGCTGGGAAGAGCCCCTGAGGAGCCTCCCCTCAGTCTCCTGGGCTCCAGCTGAGCGAGCCAAGTGCCCTCAGCTGCTCCTCAGCCCTTCCCCAGCTCCGTGTCCCTCCTTTGGCCACTCTCCAACACCTGGGAGAGCCACCACCCTGGAGGCCACTGTGGGTGAGGTGATGGGTGAGCCCCCAGGCCTTGCTCAGACCCCTGGGCTCCCCAAACCCGCTGCTTTCAGCCCAGCCCAGCACTCAGGGGCTGAGCAGGGACATTCCCCAGGGCAGGGCGAGCACAAAGCCCTGGCTGGAGGCCAGTGGGAGCAGCAGGGCTGAGCATTCCCAGAATCCCGGCAGGGCAGGGATGGAGGGGTCCCCAAGGACAGCCCCACATGTGGCAAGGAGCTCTGGATGAATGGAAACCCTGCTCAGCTCGACCAAGGGCTGTGCCCAGCTATTCCCCACCCCCATCCAAGCTGGAAAGGGAACAACACCCCAGCTGGGCTTAATAAAGTCCAGTGCAGTTGCTGAGCTTTTAGACAAAAGCAGGGTTTGAAGAGCAGGGTTTGATCAGCCAGGCTTGAAATGCAGCAATATTAAAACCACTGAGTTCCCAATGAAACAAAGCCTCCCCCAAACTCACGCTCACGGAGGGGTGTGTGGGTGGAACTGGTGCTGCAGAGGCTGCAAAACAAGAGGGAGGATTTGTTATCAGGAATTTGTTATCAGCAGTTTGTTATCAGCTGTTTGCTATCAGGAGTTTGTTATCAGGAGTTTGCTCCAAGCAGGGCCAGAGCATTGCTCCTTGAAGGACCCTGTGGGTCCAATCACATCCCCTCCAACCCCCAAAGGAAAATTTCCCCAGCTTTAGCCTAAAAAGGTGCAGAAATGGGTCTGGATGTGGCTGTTATTCCCAAATTTTGTCAGGGAAAGTGGCAGCACTGGAGCACCCCATGGGTAGAGACTGAGCTGTGCCCCAGGACAGGGCAGGCTCTCCAGTGACATTTGTGACACATGGAGCCAAAGTGGCCCCGGGAAGGAAGGGAAATTTGGGCTGGCACTGCTCCAATTGGCACCAGGTGGTGGCAAACCAAGGCCAGGGGTGGCACTGGGAGGTGTCAGCTCACCTGGCATGTTGGGGTTGGGGCAGGCTTCCCTCAGGTAGAAAATCAGCCCATCTGGTTTGAGTTTTAAGTACTCCACCAACTGGCAAAGGGATGAGAGGAAAAAGAGATTATTGTGAGGAGAAAAAAATCCATATATAATATATAATATATAATATATAATATATAATATATAATATATAATATATAATATATAATATATAATATATAATAATTAGTATATAGTATATATTAATGTTATAACATATAAGTATATATTTATATATTGTATATAATATTTACTTACATATTATAATATTAATGTAATTCAGTAATATTAATAGAATTATATAGAATTTAATATAATTTAATTATATATATTTAATATATAAAATAGATTATATCCTTATATTGTACATTTTATATATTATTATATATAATATATAATATAAATACAATATTATTATATGATTATGTAATAATATAATGATATGTTATATTATTATATAGTATATATTTAATTTTAATTTTATATTGACAATATAATTATATATATTATTGTCTATATTATACCTTATATTATTATTATTATTATTATTAATAATAATAATAATAATAATAATAATAATAATAATAATAATAATAATAATAACAACAAAAATAATATTAATAACTTTTGTGGCTTAGGACAATGATTCCTCTCAGACTTATAGCAGGCAGGCACCAGACTATTTCTGTGTGCACTTAGGGGTGTCCCAGGGTGTGATTGCATCCCTGGATATCTGCCAGACTGGGATGAACTTGGGGAATTCAATAAGGCCCAAGACAAAATCTGCAGTCTGAGCAGGGCACGTGGAGGGCAGTGCCATTGTTGGGCCAGCCAGGAAGGGGTTTAGGCCCTGATGTGTGGGATGAATCCTGAGAGAAAGCAGATCCTTTTTCCCAGAGGAGCTGCAGGGTTTGTTCCGTGGATCCCAGGCAGTTTTTAATGGCAGCACCCCTGGATCCAGCACAGAGGGGACATCACTCAGCCTGGGGACAACCAGCCCAGCCCAGGGACACCAGGCTTTCCCTTCCCCTCCTGCCTGGCTCAAGTTTCAGAAGCAATCAAGAGCCTGGCATGGCTCTGTCACCATAAAAATGCCCCAAAATCTTTGTTTTCAATAACATTCCAAGTGAAAACATCCCTGGAAATTCAGAAAATTCAGTAAAATGGGGTTGTTGTTCCTCAGACAGCCCTAGCCAGGAGGAAGCTCTGGCATCCACCCCCTGCTTAATTTTAGTTAATGGTTTAACTCGTAAATGACTTGTTTTAATTAATTAACCCCAACCAATATATGTGTAAATTATAATTATTGTGTTACTCTTCAATTACTCCCAGCCAGCAGGGAACAAGGTTGTCATGAGCTACTTTTGCAGGAGCACAGCTGGGGAAAATTACTAGAATTTTAAGTTTTGATAAACTAACTCTGATATACCCCAGTGAACAAAGCCTGGGAGGGGAAGATGGATTGAGGTTGGACATCTGGAATGCAGAATTTATGGACCACAAGGAGACTTTGGAGAAACCAGAAGAAAAAAAGAGACTTAAAAAAAATCAGTTTAAGCATTGGAGACTCCCTGCTAAAGAAAAAAAAAAAAAAAGGAAAAAAATCTTTTTTAGTTTTAAAAAGATTAAAAATATGGTCTAATTAGCAGAAAAAGAGAAATTAATAACCAATAGAGGATAGAATACTAATTGATGAAAGAGAATTAGCAGAGAATCATGGAATATTCTGAGTTAGAAGTTAGAGGATCAGTGGTGATGATTATTAACTATTAAGTGACAGGGATCAAACCAAAAGTGTAGTATTATGATGTCATTTAGAAGCAATGAACATTCATTTATTTTTCTGTAGAAATAATTATAAAAATAAAATACTTTTATATAAATATATTTTCTATAATAGATATATATTTATAAATATATAATATATAAATATAATAATATATAAATATATTATATGACTATAAATAAATATTTATATTTTATATACTTTTTTATAAATATAAATGTCCAATCAAGTAACAATGTTTTGGATCAGGGTCTGTGTGGAGGCCAGAATTTTGTCAGCCATGCACACAACCCATGGCCAGGAATAAAATAACTCCTGACTTGCTGACACTTTAAAAAATGGCATTAGAGGGGTTTATTTATCCTGATGACTTTGATGGACTTGGTAACACTTCAAAGCAAGGAAAAGGTGCCTCAATTTCTTGTTACCTGCCAGAGTGTGTCGAATTTGGTGCCTTCAGGAATGGAATATTTCCCAGATTTATCGTGATCCACCCGGTAGTGATACACGGTCTTGCCATAGACGAGGGACAGGGCGTAGGCACGGTTCTCCTTTTTTTCTCTCAGCCTGGCAGGAAGGAAAATGATTAATAAATTATTAAAAGCAGCTCTTGGTTTCGCTCTGAGGATTGTCAGTGGTGAGTGGACACGGGTACATGGAGAGGTGCCCCTGCATCCCTGTATAAAATTATAATAAAAAGTATATATATAATATATAATATATAATATATTGTATATCGTATATCGTATATTGTATATTATAATATACATAATATATTATATACAATATATTATATATTATGTATTCTATATTATATATATTATATATTATATGTTATATATAATATATTGTATTATATTATATATATTATATATAATGTTTTAATTTATATATAATATATATAATACAATCTGGGATTGTGGGTGTGGAGTTTGAATAGAAGTGTGTGATATCACAGGGTGGAAAACTTAGAGTTGAAGGTTTTAGAATATAGTAATATATATAAAGCAAGATAGTTTAAAGCAGAAGTTAATCCTTTTTCTTCACGAGTTTGAGTAGTATTATGTTATTAAATAAAAAAGTCCACACTACAAGTCACGAGTAGTTAGTTATTGAGTTAAAAGTAAAAATAATTCAAGTGTCAATTCTTAAGTGGACAGTTGATCCTTAAAAGGCCTTGTAGAGAGAGATGGGCTCCATTTTTAGCTTGTTAGAGTTAAGTACTATAAAACTCAGTTTACAGAATCCCAGAATAATGAGGTTGGAAGAGACCTCTAAGATCATGGAGTCCAACCTATGCCCTAACACCTCAACCAGACTATAGCACCAAGTGCCATGTCCAATCTTTATTTTTAAACACATCCAGAGATGGTGATTCCACCACCTCCCTGGGAAGAGCATTCCAGTGCTTTATTATTCTTTCGGTGAAATTTTTTTTCCTAAACTATATTTTTATGAAATTACAATACAGTTAAGAACTAATAAAAATCTAAGTCCAAACAAAAAACCATCTTATACACTTAATCCCCACCTTAACAATAAAAAAACCCCAAAGAGTCCACATAGTGGTGCCCCGTGTGAGGAAGAAGAGATTTGGGGCACAGCCCACCTTTGAAATATCTGTAATCTGTAATATCTGAAATATCTGTAACTCTGAGAAAATTCAGCTACACCTCCTCTGTCACGTGAAGCCAGTGACAGCAGGGCAGTGGGGGTGGGAAATGGTCAGAAATTCAGGGGTGTTCTGGTCTCTCTAAGTGCCACTGAGGGGACCCTGGTCAGCCCCAACATGGTGGACAGCAGGGAGGGCACTGTCCCATGCCCCGGGGGTACCAAAGGCAGCCAGGCTGATCCTGGGGGTACCAAAGGCAGCCAGGCTGGTCCCTGGGGGTACCAAAGGCAGCCAGGCTGATCCCTGAGGGTACCAAAGGCAGCCAGGCTGAGCCTGGGGGTACCAAAGGCAGCCAGGCTGATCCCTGGGGGTACCAAAGGCAGCCAGGCTGATCCTGGGGGTACCAAAGGCAGCCAGGCTGGACCCTGGGGGTACCAAAGGCAGCCAGGCTGATCCCCAGGGGTGCCAAGGGCAGCCAGGCTGGACCCTGGGGGTACCAAAGGCAGCCAGGCTGATCCTGGGGGTGCCAAAGGCAGCCAGGCTGATCCCTGGGGGTACCAAAGGCAGCCAGGCTGATCCCTGAGGGTACCAAAGGCAGCCAGGCTGATCCTGGGGTACCAAAGGCAGCCAGGCTGAGCCCCAGGGGTACCAAAGGCAGCCAGGCTGATCCTGGGGGTACCAAAGGCAGCCAGGCTGATCCTGGGGGTACCAAAGGCAGCCAGGCTGATCCTGGGGGTATCAAAGGCAGCCAGGCTGATCCTGGGGGTACCAAAGGCAGCCAGGCTGATCCCCTGCAGCAGAGGAGATGCTGGAACAATGGTGGAAGATGAAGGGGCCGACTCTTAGCAGGGTTAATCCAAAATTCATTTCAGGAGCTCCTGGGAGCCCCAGCAACCTCAGGGGGCTCCTGCTGAGAGCCCCGGGAGAGGTGCCAAGGTTACACTGAAAGGGAGGTGGAAACCCAAAGTAGAAAACATTTACTGACCAATGAGTGACCCTAAGGGATGGAGACTGGGAATGGACATTTAGGACAGGATTTGGGGTAACACTTGGGGGGTGACCCCTGGCCTCTGGCTGATCACTCGAGGTCCTGGACAGAAAGTTCTAGATGGAGGGGAGGGGATGCTGAGTGACTGACAGAGAGCCAGGGTGGGGATTTGGGGATGCTCTCAGCAAAGGGATTACACAGGTAGAGGGAGGGGACACAATCTGGGGTAAACCATTTGGGGAAAATAAGGGGATACAAAGACAAAACCATTATAAACCTAAAACCACACTACAACACAGGGGTGCCAGCATCCTCTGGGGGTTGGATACTCACAGGAATTTCCCATCAGGCTGTGCCCCCGAGTAGAGTCTCCGTTCCGCCTCCTCCCGGCTGATGTTGCCGTGGTACCAGGGCATCCTCTCGTGGGCTGTGGTGGCCACCAGCTTCTCCACCTGGGGAGCCTGGCTGATGATGGCCTGTTCTAGGGCATCTCCCTGGAAAAGAGCAGGAAAAGAGACCTGCCATCCTGCTGCTCTGCTGATGGCTTCAGCACAGCTCACTGGGGGCACATGACACAGAAACTTGGGAAGTCTCGTGATTAATTGAGACCCAACAGCAGCTGAATTCTGTTCTGCTGCAGAGCAGAATTCCTGGCTTATCTCAACTGACTTAATCCTTTAAATCCAGCTGAAGTCCTTTGACTTTGGTGAGGGAAAAGAGAAGGCATCATGTTTATGTGGGGAATCTTAATGCTGGGCTTGTGGGGTGTCATTCAGCCTTGTGTTCCTGGCTGGTGGCAAGTTGGATCTGTGTCTTGGCAGCCCCAAGGGCCACCCTGTGCTGGGGGCACCAGGCCCAGGGAGGGATTGTCCCACTCTGCTCTGCCCTGGGGCAGCCTCACCTCCAGTGCTGGGGGCACTTTGGGCACCACGAGATCAGAAGGAGCCAAAGCTGTTGGAGAGTGGCCAAAGGAGGGACAGGGAGCTGGGGAAGGGCTGAGGAGCAGCTGAGGGCACTTGGCTGGTTCAGCTGGAGCCCAGGAGACTGAGGGGAGGCTCCTGGGGGCTGCAGCTCCTGCCCAGGGCAGGCACAGGGGCAGGGGCTGAGCTCTGCTCTGGGACAGGGACAGGAGCCCAGCAAGGGCTGGAGCTGGGCCAGGCCTTGGCATGGAGCTCAGGGCAAGGTTCTGCCCCCCGAGGCTGCTGGGCACTGCCCAGGCTCCCCAGGGAATGGTGCCAAGGCTGCCACAGCTCCAGGAGCCTTTGGACACAGAATCACAGAATCACAGAATCACTGGGTTGGAAGAGACCTCCAAGATCATCGAGTCCAACCCAGCCCCAACAGCTCAACTGAACCCTGGCACCCAGTGCCACATCCAGGCTTTGTTAAACACACCCAGGGATGGGGACTCCACCACCTCCCCGGGCAGCCATTCCAGAGCTTTATCACCCTTTCTGTAAAAAACGTTTTCCTGATATCCAACCTATATTTTTTTCCTGATATCCAACCTGTATTTCCCTTGGCACAGTTGAGGCTGTGTGCTCTGGTTCTGTCAGTTCCTGGAGAAAGAGCCCAGCCCCAGCTGAGCACAGGCACCTTGCAGGAGCTGCAGAGAGTGATGAGGGCACCCCTGAGTCTCCTTTTCTCCAGGCTGAGCACCCCCAGCTCCCTCAGTTGTTCCTCACAGGGTTTGTGCTCCCAGCCCCTCACTGACAGAGCCCTCAGGGCTGCTCAGGGTGGGGTTGTTGGGGTGGCTGTGCAGAGACAGGGGTTGCACTGGATGATCTTTTGGGTCTCTTCCAGCTCAGGATATTCCACCTTTCCTTGATTTTCTTGAGAGCACGACCTTTCTGGTGCCCCTGCCCTCCTGGCTGCCCACCACCCGCAGGACTTGGCAAGGTCGGTGCACTCTGGCAACCACAGGGGAGGGACCCTGAGCTCCTTTCCCCGGGCTCACGCCGGTGTCAAACCGTTCCTGTCCCTTTGCCAGGAGGTGGCGATGTCCTTTGTGCTATCTGCAGGTGGCCACCCATCTGCTCTGGGGGCAACCCTACAGCATCCCCGGTTCTGGGAGAGAATTCTGCAACAAAATACCTCATTTTAGCACAGAACACCTCAATCGGCTATAGAAACCCTACAGAACAGCTCGTTCACCCTAAAAAATACCTCATTCTGTCAAACACATTTGGTGTAAATAGGCCAAATTCAGGAAGCTTCTATAGAAAGGCTCCATAAGGGCACTGCCTGAGCCATGTTTCTCTGAGGACTTAAAACAAAATATAAAATCCCAGAATGATTTAGGTTGGAAAAACCTCCAAGGTAACCGAGGCCAAGCTGTGCCCCATCCCCAGTTTGTCTCCAGCCCAGAGCACTGAGTGCCACGTCCAGGCCTTCCTTGGACACCTCCAGGGATTGGGACTCCAAACCTCCCTGGGCAGCCCCTTCCAAGGAAACAGCAAAATAACCCCTGGAAATGTTTGAGGAGCCAAGGCAGCAGCAGGCAGAAAGAAATGAAGTTCATGGCTGCCAGTGGGACCATTCAGAGTTTTGATTTATATATTTTGATTTATATGATTTTTTTATATTGTAGATATTCCGGACTGCAATAAAATGCAGGAATTTGTTTGTGGCTATTTTTAAATCTAAATAATTCACAGACCTGATCCAGCACCCCTTGCCTTGGTTTCATGGGTAAAATCTTCAGTGGCAAAAAAAAAATAACCCTCCAGAGAGGCAAAAATTCTACTCCAAATAGTGCAAAAGACCAGAGCAAAAGTCTAAGTCTGGTTTCATTTCATCTTCAGCACAATGTTTGGAGGCATAGGCACCTCACATATGGAGAGATGCTCCCAGATATCACAGAATATTCTGAGTTGGAAGGGACCTACAAGGATCATCAAGTCCAATTATTAAGTAAATGGGTCCATATGGAGATGGAACCCAAAACCTTGGCATTATTAGCACCATGCTCTGACCAACTGAGCCAATCCCAGGATTAGGATGGAGAATCTGCTGCCAGCAGCGCCAGGGACACATCCATGGCATGGGAGTCATGTCTTTATGTGTCTCTGGAGCTCTGTGGTTGGGTTTTGGGATGGGTTTGTTTAGATCTGTGATGGGTTTATTTAGTTCTGGGATGGGTTGTTGGGATTTGGGATGGGTTTGTTGGGGTTTGGGATGGGTTTGGTGGGGTTTGGGATGGGTTTGGTGGGGTTTGGGATGGGTGGTTGGCTTTTGGGATCAGAGCTGTGGTCTAAGGCAGGGAACATCTCATGGGCTGCAGAGGAGAAGGATACCTAGGGAAAGGCCTGCAAAGTGAGCTCCTGCTGTTCCAAGGATGGGTCTGAAGGCTTGGGAAGATGTTTAGACCAGCGTGTGGAGAAGAAACTGGGAAAGCAGGATTCAGACCCCTCACAGTGCCAGCACCCTCCAAGGAGAGGAACCTTACTCTGCTGTGCTGCAAATGGGACACAACAGCACCAAAGGCATCACAGCTTCCCACCCTGTTGGAGCCCTGGCTGCTGAGAATTTCAGACTTTCTGTGCTGCCAGGCACTGACCCCCAAGAGAACACTGGATCTGACCTGAGGCCGTGGAGAAGCTTCCAAAATGGAATGACAGAGCTGGGATTGTGGGAGTGGAGATTGAATAGAAGTGTGTGATATCACAGGGTGGGAAACTTAGAGTTTAAGGTTTTAGGATATAGTAATATATATAAAACAAGATAGAGGTTTTGAGGTGGAGCCTGGTCCTTCTTCTCCACCTTCTTCTCCATGGGTTTGGGTGGTTTTGTGTAATTGGATAAAAAAGTCCACATTGTGGGCATGGGTGGTTGGTTATTGGTTAAAAGTAAAAACAATTTAGGTGTCATTTCTTAATTGGACAGTTTATCCTTAGAAGGCCTTGTAGAGAGAGAGATGGGGCTCCATTTTTTAGTTTGTTAGAGTGAAACTGTAGAATGCTGTAGAACTCAGGGTTTGTGGGACTGTGACATAGATAAGAACTGATAAACAAGAAACACCATCTTGCGCAATTAATCCTGACCCTGGCAAAATGCAAGAGAACCAAAAAAAAAAGAAAAGCAAAAAAAAGAAAAACAAAACAAAACCAAAGAATCCACACCACCCCTCCCCTGGAAAGCCCCAGTACCTCCAGTTTCCAGGTCTGCCGCACGTATTCCCGCACCATGTTGTCCCTCATGCTGTCAAAGACACCGGGCTGGGGCTCCACCCCGCTGGGGCGGTTGCAGGGCTTGCGCAGGGGGCAGCAGAGCCCGTCGGCGTCCTTAGAGTAGAACTCGCAGAGCTCCTCGGGGCCGCAGTGCGCCTTGCCCCCCAGGATGGCGTAGGTGCCGTTGAGCTGGCGCTCGATGGGGTAGTGGTAGAACTGCAGGTCACACACCTGTCACAGACACATTTTATGGAAAATCCTTTCCTTAGGATTTTTCCTCCTGAGAAGCTGAGAGGCCTCAGGAACAAAATGTCAACAATGGTTATCTGCTGCTGTGGAATGCAACAGGTGCATCTGGGATTGGTCTCATGTGGTTGTTTCTAATTAATGGCCAATCACAGCCCAGCTGGCTCAGACAGAGAGCAGAGCCACAAACCTTTGTCATCATTCCTTCCTATTCTATTCTTAGCCAGCCTTCTGATGAAATCCTTTCTTCTATTCTTTTAGTATAGTTTTAATGTAATATATATCATAAAACAATAAATCAAGCCTTCTGAAACACGGAGTCAGATCCTCATCTCTTCCCTCACCCAAGAGCCCCTGTGAACACGGTCACACGCACCATGGAGAGCACGTAGCCGCCCAGGCTGCGCAGGCACTGCCGCAGCAGGAACAGCCCGTCCGCCATCCCGCCCAGCTTCAGGTGCTCCTCGGCCTCCGAGCGCGCGATGCTGCCGTAGTAGAAGGGCAGGTGGGCGGCGGCGTCCGGCATCTCCCCCTCCGCTCGATGGATCACGCGCTGTGGAAGCTGCTGGGCCAACAGGGAGGAAGGTGGCAGCACTCCCCTGGAGGGAAAAGCCTTCAAGTTATAAGCAAATGTTGGGGAAGATGAAACAGGAAAGCCTTATAAATATGATTGTCTGGCAAAAGATTTTGAGACTATAGAAACTATAAGTGAGATTGAAATGAAAGCAAGCTTTGAGATCCCTCAGTTACTGAACAACTGGAAAACAATGGTGTGGCCAGCTGAAGGTGATCCCCTTTTGATGGAACAACACCCTCTGCTTGCAGACAGCTCCAAGGGTCAGAGCAGACCCTGCCAGCCTGGCAGAAGGGGCCCAAAGAGGAGTTTTTAGGGTTTAAAATGTAACACAGTATGGTAATGTAGAGATTCTTATAGGCTGTATGGAAATGCTACAGGATTTGTACATTGTACTAGATTGGTTAGTGAGAATTAGAATATTCAACACAGAAGATGATTTATTGTATTGTAACAGCAACTTTGCTCTCTTAGCTCTTACCCCTTTTACTCTCACACTCTTGCCTCTCTTACCCTCTCATCCTCTCTCCCCCTCTCTTCTCTCAGTCCTGCTCTGAGCTGTGCCTGGCAGCTCCCAGCAGGGCCCTGCACCCAGGCCCTTTGCAATAAACCCCAAATTCCATGACCTGGCTGCAGAGATCTCTAGTCTCCGTCCATCCCAACCATTCCGACCCCACGACACTCCTACAACCAAAAGGCTTCTCCCAGCGTGCCTTGCTGTGATATGCAGATTCAATGTATCCCATTGGCCCTTCTCACTCGCTCCACCCCAGTGCCCTCACCCCATTGGCCCTGGTGCTCTGTCCCACCCCTTGAGAGCCCTATATAAACCCTGCTTTCAGCAATGGAGTGTTTCTTTGTTCATGGATCCCTTTGAGGAAGGAGCTCAATAAAGGCTCTCTCATACCAAGACCCCGTCTCTCTCTCTGCATCACCCGGATCACAGAGGACCTGAAATCCCTCAGCATTGAGCACAGATGTGCTGTGCCCCCAAGGTGATTTTTTCAAGACACTTCTGAGCAATACCTGCTGTGATAACCCACTGCTGGGGCCCGGCCTGGCAGGGAAAATTTGTCCCTGAAGCATCATTTTGCAAAATGTTTTAATTTGGGTTCAGACTTCCTTGTCTAGAGGTTCTCCTGCCAGCTTTCTGTGGGGTCATTTCAAACTCACAGCATCCCACATCCCTGTATTCTGCCCTTACTGGAGCTGGGAAGTGTAAATAAAAATCCACCTCATCTTGACTTAAAGATCCCAAGCAAGAGAGAATCCACTTGATCTTGATTTATAGATGCCAAGGAATAGAGAAACCATCTGAACCTGATTTAAAGATCCCAAGCAAGAGAAAATGCCCCAAATCCTACAGCGAGTTCCTCCAGTCCTTGATTACCTTCACTATTAAAAATGTGCTCCTTAAATCCATCCTGATGTTTTTAGCCTTGACTTCCTACCATTTTCTCTCCAGCCCTGCTCACAATAAAAGGAAATTCTTTAGCCTCTCAGAATAAATGAGTTTTGCCATGAAGGTCTAGAAGGCCAAAACCTTAAATGCATTGAGATTAAAACATGAGATGGATATGAAATGTCTAAAACAACATTTAGATAAACAACTGCACCAAGCACAGCGAAAGGAGAGAAACCCAAGTGCTTCTGGGTAGACATCAACCATCAGTCAGCAGAAACAAGAAGAAACCTTCCTTGAATTGTTTTTTAAACAATCTGTGGAATTTTTCCCTACAATACCTGGCTCTGGCTGGTTCCTGATGCTCCAATCCCTTTGGCAGAGAGGGCCCTTCGTTGACCAAGTTCCTGCAGAGCCCCTGGTGCCGAAGAGCTTTAGGGCTTGTCTCTGTACAGGGCTCGTATCTCTATCTTGAATCACCTAAAATCCCACCCAGAGGGTGTTGACAGAGCCCAGTTTGCTGTGATCAGTGGAAACATTATCGTGACCAAAGGGTCTCATTTGTTCCCTGGAGCCTGAACTTTGGGGTTGCTCCTGCGCAGACGATGACCCCAAAAAGATCGGAGAGATTTTCTCCACCTGCGCCCCCTGCAAACACGTCACTCATGTAAGGAGCAAAGAAACACCAGATTTTGGAGCAGCACGTTGGGTGTTTGCCCTGATTCTTCCCAATTTTACTCTTCTGGCCATGATGGGAGAAGTTGTTTCCCCATGGGCTGAGCCCATTGCTGTGGTCTCTGCTCCCAGGCAGTGCCCAGAGCTGTGCCTGGGCATGTGGTCAGCCCTGCCCTGGTGGTCAGCCCTGCTCTGGCTCATGCCAGCCTGGTTCATTCCTCCCAGCAGCACAGGGCCCTCCTGCCATCCCCTGGCATCTCTGGAGCTGGGGAGGGCTTGGCTGGATCTCTGTGTGGGAAGGGCTCAGGAGGAACCATTCTGCCCATGCACCCTGCTCTGCTCAGCCCTCAGCAGCAAAGGGCTGCCAGGAGCTGGATTTATGGCCACCAGAGCCTCCTCTACCAATTTGTTGTCCCCACGAAGCTCTGAAATGGCCCTGATGAGAACAGGAAGGGGGAGCAGAGAGGAGGTGTCTCAGCTGAGGCAGGAAACCACAACAGGAAGCGTCAGTGGTTCACAGCCAGGGTGAGAGACCAGCAGAAACCATCCCAGGCACAGCTCAAATCAGCCCAAATTGTGAAGGCCCCGTCACCAAATTCACCAAATGGAGCAAAGTGGGGGTCTTGGCACAGCTGCCAGTCTGGAACGTGGAGATGAACGGGAACCCCCTGAGGCTCAAACCCAAACTGGAGTTGGTGCTTGGGACCAAAGCCAAGCATCCTAATCCTGTGGTGCCTCCAGACATCAAAGCCCAGACTGGTTCCCAGAGCTGGTTCCCCAGGTTCAGCTCCTGAGACCAGCTGGCTGCCAGCTCTGCCTGGGCTCAGCCTGCTCCCAGGAGGATAACTCCAGGAAAATGGGTTGGAGGAGATGAGCAGTGAGGACTGCAGCTCTTGGGTTTAGCTGCAATCGGGTTCATGAGTCATGTTCTTGAGGAACAGGAAATACTGAGTGGGCAGAGGGACGTCAGTGGCCTCCTGTGTGAGCTGCTGCTTTGCACTGGGAAAAACAGCCATGACATCTGCACCCAAACCTGCTGAATCCCTTCTCTGGAAAGTCCAGGAGCAGAACATCACAGCAAGTGGAGCACCTGTGTCAGCAGCTCAGCCAGGTGAAAGTGAGAGGGCAAAAGTTATTGATGATGTGAGCCCTCACAGAATTTCCAGCTGCCCACACAGGGTGCTCTGTTATAAACAGGATGTTTTCCCTCACCAAACACAGAGCTGGGAGTGAAGAAACCCTCACAGAGATAGGAGAGGGACACAGGGCTCAGAGGTTGGGTCAGGCAGTGCCACCTAAGCCTTGCTGCCACAGATCAATCCTGGTAGGAAATTACTCTGCTGAGTAAAACCTTCCCAGTCCTGAGACATGAGGGAAAGTCACCCCCTGAAGCCTGAGAACACATTGGAACAGGAAGATTTATATTCCCTCTAGAGCTGTTGCTTTTAAATATTTGTCCTGGCTGGTTTTATTGCCCACACACCAGCTCAGGGTCTCCTCTAATTCTTCTTCCAAACTCTGTTCCTTGGCACCAGCTCTGCATGGACCTGAGCAACCCTGACCAACCTCAACAGACCTGCACAAATCACCTTCAACTTTGTTCTCCCACGCTGCCAAATGCAGCCAAAAATGAGAACCAATTTCATGGACCAGCACCTGAAAGAACCTGCAAGGGACCTTCCACCATTATTCATATTCAATTATTATTCATTTTTCCAGTTTCATCTGTGTCCCTGGGGCTGCAGGTGCTGGGTGTTCCCTTGGGTTTGGGTGATCCCACAGGTTGGGTACAGAATTCACAGAATTCACAGAATTCCAGAATCACTGGGTTGGAAGAGACCTCCAAGATCATTGAGTCCAGCCCAGCCCCAGCACCTCAACTGAACCCTGGCACCCAGTGCCACATCCAGGCTTTGTTAAACACACCCAGGGATGGGGACTCCACCACCTCCCTGGGCAACCATTCCAGAGCTTTATCACCCTTTCTGTGAAAAACTGAAAGAATAATAAATTTTTCCTAATATCCAACCTATTTTTTTTCCTAATATCCTAATTAGGTTTTTCCTAATATCCTGCCTATAGGATAGGATCTCACCAACTTCCTAATATCCAATCTATATTTTTTTCCTAATATCCAACCTATATTTTTTCCTAATGTCCAACCTACATTTTTTTCCTATTATCCAACCTGAATTTCCCTTGGCACAGTTGAGGCTGTGTGCTCTGGTTCTGTCAGTTCCTGGAGAAAGAGCCCAGCCCCAGCTGAGCACAGGCACCTTTCAGGAGCTGCAGAGAGTGATGAGGGCACCCCTGAGTCTCCTTTTCTCCAGGCAGGGCTGGAAGCCCAGGGCTTCCTCTGGTGATGGTCACGTTGGCAAGTTGCTGTGATGATGTGAAGATGCACCCAAAAAAACAACTCCCACATGAAATGAGTCGGGTCTGTGCCCCACAACACAGGAAAGGCAGGCAGGAAGCCCTGGAGATGTCACTCAATCACATCTATTTATAGCTGGCCACTCGTTTTTACTCATATCAGACAAGAACCAACAGGAACTGGTTTGATTTTATAATTTCCCAGAACAGCACTTGATGCAAATCCAGACCAGTTCCTGAGAGCAGGGGGTTGTACTGGTGAAACTGGAGGCAGCACTGGAAGGTTCAGCATCCTGTTAGGACCATGTTTTGTGTCTCCTTGTCCTGGCAGCAATGATCCCACACACTACAAATAATCCCTGCTAACACAGCCACAATGGGGTGGCTGGGACAGTCTGGGGAGGAGCAGGTGGGGAAGGGCTGAAGGATGGGAATTGTGATGGGGAACCAGCCTGGAGAGGGAAAAAGGGGGGTCTGGGGGGCTTCTGTTCTTTGGGGGTGGTTTGTGTTGCCAGTGTGGGGTGGTTTTAACAAATCCCTAAATGGAGTTTAACTGGGAAGTGCCAGGAAAATGT